TGTATAATATTAGTTAAAAATAATTTTACATTTAATAGTTTTAAATATTTATTACTAAATATATAAATATATGAAATTGTATTAGTTATAATCGACAGTCATTTCTGTCGATTATACCTAATTTATTCGACAGCCACAATGGCTGTCGATTATACTTGCTATAATCGACAGAAATGACCGTCGATTATTAGAAAGTATATTCGACAGCCACAATGGCTGTCGATTAAACCTATATAATCGACATTTTATTATAATCGACAGAGTTTTTGTCGATAATATAAGTAAAATCGACAGTTTTTGGACTGTCAATTATATTTTTGTCAATTATATGTTGTTTTCTAGTAGTGAGACGTGAAAACCTCACAAGGAAGCCCGGATAAATGGGAATGGATTCACGACAAAGATGGCCAATACACAACAAAATCAGCATATACACTTTTAACAAAAGAAGAGAGTGGAGCAAACGGAAGCACAACACTCACAAGAGTTTGGAATTCCATCCTACCAAGCAAAATATTGGCGTTTAATTGGCAATTACTACAGGATAGAATACCAACAAAAATGAATCTGCTGAGAAGAGGGATCATTAAAGACATGGGAGAAAGCAAATGCGGTATATGCAATGAAGAAGAGAAAGACACAACGCACATGTTTATAAAATGCAAGATGGCTCGATGGTTATGGATGGCTTGTGCAAAGTGGTGGGGGATTAAAGTAACACTACAAGAGGATTGATGGAACACTTTCCAAAATTTTGAAAGAGAGCTGAAAGAGACAAGTTTAAGAGACGGATGGGATTGTATTTGGAACTCCTTGGTGTGGACGGTGTGGCTGGCCAGAAATCAAAAGCTATTTCAAGGAAAAAAGATTGATGCGGGAAAGCTATTTGAGCTCATCCAGCTAAGATCCTTTTTTTGGGTTAAAAGAAAAAATAACAGGTATGCTTTTAATCTTGTTAACTGGATTATGAATCCTGTTAACTGGATTATGAATCCTGTTGCATGCCTGAAAGAGTGCTGTAGCAAAAGAAGGGTACCAATCAAATAATTGCGGGACCAGGACTGATTTAGCTAGTGATTTTTTGACAAATGTAAGATGGGATGATCAATGTTTTTAAGGGTTGAGTACCCTTTGTACTCAAGGTTTTTAAAATCGGACCGGTCATTGAACCGTTTTCGGATCCGGTTTCTAGTTTGATCGGTTCAACCAGTTGAATCAGTGAACCAGCCGGTTCAAATGACAAGAGAAATTTGATGAGATGGATAAGTAATTTTGTAATTTCATTAAAATTAAGGGTTAAAATCGGTATAAGAAAGGAATGATGAGGGTGAAATTGGAAAAAATAAAAAAAAAATTGCATGAGAAATTGAACCGGTGGTTTTTCTGGTTTTATCGGTTCCATCGGTTTCACTGGTTTTGACCGGTTTTGAGCAATTTTGACCGGTTTTAAACGGTTTTTGATCGATTTTGACCTCAAACGGTTTTTTGTATGAACCGAGCTGTTTTCATTATCGGGTATCGATCTGACCGGTTCAACCGGCCGATCCGGTCCGATTTTAAAAACCTTGCTTGTACTCATGTTAATTTACTATCAAGATTGTTTGCTGTTCAAAAAAAAAAAAAATTATTACCTCTGTCGAAAAAAAAAAGAAGATAGGTAGCGGAAACTGCAAAGAGGAGTGGTTTAAATCAAACCAACAAATCATAAAGAAGCATCAAATCAAATTCGAGGACTAATCATAAATTGATCATCCTCCATTGCCCATTTTCAAAAAAAAAAAAAAAAATTATAAATTGATCATCCATGGTTTGAAGTTCTTTTTTCTATTTACTAGACAAAGTATCAAAACAATTGAAGAAAAAAATCAAAATAACTTGTATGCTTAAATACCAAACATTGGCATATATAAATTTGGCAAAAATCTACTTTTTTTACTTTTTTATCTTATTAGATTTATATGTTTTAACCTTATATTTTATACTAAAACATTATGAGTTATTTTATTTATTTTTAATAGATTAAAGGTTAAAAATGTTATAATATAAGTAATTAATAAAACTTGCAAATTTAGTAAGATAAAAAACCAATTGTAGGTTTTTGCCATATAAGCTTTCTACATTCAAGTTTTCTCTTATCCTTTCATTCCCAAGTTACTTATCAACGACACAACAAGCACACCTAAATGCAACATAAATTAACAGAGAAACCCTAATTTCTGCTCTTCCGCACCACAAATCCCACTCCCTTCCTTTTTTTTTTTTTAGGACAGTTCAAATTCATCCTCCATTCAAATCACGAACAAACATCATGAACATAGCAAGAACCAACAATTTGAACAAATTTCAGCTCCCAAACCCTAGCAATCTCAACCGAAGAGAGAAGACCTACATGCTGAGGATTAGTGTTCTCCTTAGCATCATCGTCGCCAGCATCACTATCGCCGCCATCAGTCCCGTTCGTCAAGTCCGTTTGCGCCTGGGAAGCCTTATTATTCTTCTTCTGCTTGCGCCTCCGACGACGCCGTTCGCTCTCGCGAGACTTCTTGGCGGCAACGCCGGGGTTAGAGTTGCCGTTGATCAGATCTCCGTTTGCCAGAACGACGCCATTCTGGTGCGGAACAACCTCCACCGTCATTTCCGTAATCGATTATCGCGAGGGTTCTGAAAGAGTGTCACAGTGAGAGAAACAAGAGGATGGACGGAAGAATACAATCAGGAGAGCGCGAGAACCTATAGATACGAGAAGGATACTCGTAGATGTGGCCACACGGGATAAAGACCGTTTTTACTGGGTTAATTGGGCCCAAGTGGAAAATGATTTAGGGATGATTTTTTTATTATTTTTTGGGATAATATTTTTATATTATCTTTTAATATAATTTTATATATTATTTAAATGATTAATTTTTTATTCATGAAAAATGATTGTTGAAACAATTTTTTATATTACTTGTTGATACAACTTGTCATATCATTTAAATAATCAGTTTTTTTATTCATTTAAAACTCGTGATATTAAATGTATTTATTTATTTAATGGTATATAAAAATTATATAAAAATGTAATATAAAAAATTTATTCTTATATTATCGTTCTTTACTCATTTAAAACTCATAATATTAAGGACATCTATTCATTTAATAATATAAAAAAATTACATCAAAAGATAATATAAAAAAGTTACTCTTATATCAAAATAATATATTATAATATTATATAATAATATAAATTTATAATATAATATATTATTATATAATTTAAATTTTTTATTTAAAAATGTTTACCATAATATTATATATATACACCAACACAGGCCCCTCTAAACTTTTTTCAAAAATACAATATAGTCCCTTATATTTTATTTTTATCATCTTTATCCTCATTTATTTCATACATTACAACCATTTTAATTATTTTCTTGTATTTGTGTAGTTAAAGTTTACTTTTAATGGCAAAGAGAAAGATGAGGAAAATAAAGATAATGTGAAAAATAAGAAAAAATAAAAATTAATTGAATAAAAATTATTTATTATTATTTTTAATAAATATTCGTTCACTAATATTTTTGTTTTCTTTTTTTTTCACAGTATATATTTTTTATTTAATATTCATCTTTTTATAAAATATTTGTTCATTAATATTTTTACATCCTCTTTCTTTCTTTATAGTATATATTTTTATTTAATATTTATTTATTTTTATCTTTTAATTATGGTATTTATACCATATTATTAATTATTATTAATTTATCATTAAAAATTAATAAATATTATTTGAATCGACCTTTGGAGCTTAATAATTCATCTTAAACCTTAATACTTGAATTCACCTTGTCAAGACTTTGAAAAAAATACTATTTAAAATATTTCTCTTTTACCCATAAATCCTCATGTTTAAAAAAATTATTTGAAATATTTTTTTAATTTTTTAAATTAACATTATTTTTTATTAAAAATTTATTTTACTCCTTAAAAATATTTTCTGACTTCAAGGCTGTATTCATACACTAATTTGATTGCACGTAATGCTGATTATAAATTTATTTATGGCATCGCGGTAAACAATCAGAAGAATACCAATTATATATTAATTTAGATGAAAAAAATTTAATTCTCTTCAAATAAAATTTTAAATTTAAATTTTATAAATAAAAAAATAAATACTAAAAAGTTTTTTTCTCTAATAAAATCTGATGTAATTTAATTTTAAATTAATCCGTATCTAATATGATTTTTAAATACCAAAAGATTTAATAATAAAAAAATTTACACTCACAGAACTGGCATTTTCACTGTTAGTAGATGTTCAAAGGTTATAAACAAACAGTTGGCGTCGTTCACCAGTTTTAAGTAAAAAGAAAATGAGTAAATTTGCCCCTCATTAGATTAGATTGGCTCAGATTTTACAACTTGAATTTCTCCCTAATATGTGGGAAAGATATGGAAATTGACTATCACTATAACAGAAAAAATGGAAGGCTTTTAACATATAATAATGACATATTTGAGTAAACTTATAAGAGATTCAATTTTTTGATATTATTTATGTTCATAAATTTAAATTTTCTTTTTAAAAACTTATATTTTGAAAAGAAATGAATAAGTGCTAAATGTTATCTAGTAAATTAGTTAGAGTTAGAGTCTAGGCTAAGTGGCTAACACTGAGGAGATTTAAGAAGCAAACCAAACCAAACCAACTGATTAATTAATATGAAACGATCTTATTAAACAAAAAACCAAAGGACAAAATGTTAATCTAAGTACTGACCCAACATTTCAATCAATAAATAAAAAGTGGGGTGTTATCCAACCACATAACAACTGTTCTGTTGTGTCGTAAAAATCCTCCAAG